GCTGGGGTAGCAATACTGATATCTGATAAAATAGACTTCAGATTGAAGGCCATAACTAGAGACAAAGAAGCCCACTACATAATATTGAAAGGATCTATCCAACAGGAAGATATAACATTGATAAACATATATGCACCCAATATAGGAGCACCAAAATATATTAAAAATCTTCTGGAGGACTTCAAAGGAGAAATCGATAGCAATACAATCATAACAGGGGACTTCAACACCCCGCTCACATCACTGGATAGATCCTCTAGACAAAAAATTAGCAAGGAAACAGAGACTCTAAATGAAGCACTAGACCAAATGGATTTAATAGATATCTACAGAGAACTACACCCCAAAACTACAGAATTCACATTCTTCTCAAGTGCACATGGAACATTCTCAAAGATAGACCACATGTTAGGGCACAAACTAAGTCTCTACAAGTTCAAGAAGATTGAAATTATAACAAGCATCTTCTCAGACCACAATGGTATGAAACTAGAAATCAATTGCAAGAAGAACATACAAAGACATTTTAACACATGGAAGCTAAATAGAATGTTATTAAACAATGAATGGGTCACCGAGGAAATCAAGGAAGAAATCAAAAACTTCCTGGAAACCAATGAAAATGAGGACACAACAATACAAAATCTATGGGATGCAGCAAAAGCAGTTCTGAGAGGGAAGTTTATAGCACTACAGGCCTACCTCAAAAAAGAAGAAAAATCTCTAATAGACTACCTAACCTCACAACTTAAAGAACTAGAGAGTAAACAAAAAGAAAACCCCAGAGCAAGCAGAAGAAAAGAAATAGTAAGGATCAGAGCAGAAATAAACGACATAGAGACCAAAAAAACAATCCAGAGGATCAATAAAACAAAGAGCTGGTTTTTTGAAAAGATAAACAAGATTGATGGACCCTTAGCTAGACTCACCAAGAAACAAAGAGAGAGAACCCAAATACATAAAATCAGAAATGAAACAGGAGAGATAACAACTGACCCTACAGAAATACAAAAGATCGTTAACAACTACTATGAAAAATTATACGGCAACAAATTCGAAAATCTAAGCGAAATGGACAAATTTTTAGAAACACATAGCCTCCCAAAATTGGATCAGATAGAGATTGAAAACTTGAACAGACCAATAACAACAGAGGAAATTGAAGATGTAATCAAGACTCTTCCAGCAAACAAAAGCCCAGGCCCAGATGGCTTCACAGGGGAGTTTTACCGAACATTCAAAGAAGAACTAATACCCATTCTCCTCAAACTATTTCAAAAAATTCAAGAAGAAGGAAGACTGCCAAACTCGTTTTATGAAGCCAGCATAACTCTAATTCCAAAACCAGAAAAAGACACAACAAAGAAAGAAAACTACAGGCCAATATCCCTGATGAACATAGATGCCAAAATCCTGAACAAAATACTAGCAAATCGAATCCAGCAATACACCAGAAAAATTATCCACCATGACCAGGTGGGATTCATCCCAGGGATGCAAGGCAGGTACAATATTCGCAAATCCATAAATGTGATACACCACATAAATAAATTGAAGAATAAAAACCACATGATCATATCAATAGATGCTGAAAAAGCCTTTGACAAAATCCAGCATCCATTTCTGATAAAAACGCTCACCAGTGTGGGAATTGAGGGATCATACCTAGACATAATAAAGGCCATATATGAAAGACCTACAGCCAACATCATACTCAATGGGCAAAAACTAAAAGCATTTCCCTTAAGAACAGGAACAAGGCAAGGATGCCCACTTTCGCCACTCCTATTTAACATAGTACTGGAAGTCTTAGCCACAGCAATCAGACAGGAAGAAAAAATAAAAGGGATCCAAATTGGAAAGGAGGAAGTGAAAGTGTCATTATTTGCAGATGACATGATACTGTACATAGAAAATCCCAAAGACTCCACCAAAAGCTTACTAGACTTAATAAATGAATTTGGCAAAGTAGCAGGATACAAAATTAACGTCAAGAAATCGATGGCATTCTTATACACCAATGATGAACTCACAGAAAGAGAAACTAGGCAAACAATCCCATTTACCATTGCGGCAAAAAAATTAAGATACCTAGGAATAAACTTAACCAAAGAGATAAAGGACCTATTCGCAGAAAACTACAGATCTTTGAAAAATGAAATAGAGCAAGATGTAAAAAAGTGGAAGCACATACCCTGTTCATGGATTGGGAGAATTAACATCATTAAAATGTCCATATTACCCAAAGCAATCTATAGATTCAACGCAATCCCCATCAAAATACCAACGGCATACTTCAAAGAATTAGAACAATTACTTCAAAAGTTCATATGGAACCAAAAAAGGCCTCGAATAGCCACAGCAATCTTGAAAAGGAAGAACAAAGTTGGAGGGATCACAATACCAGATTTCAGGTTATACTACAAAGCCACCATAATCAAAACAGCCTGGTACTGGCACAAGAACAGGTATATAGACCAGTGGAACAGAATAGAGAACCCAGAAATGGACCCTAGGCAATATGCTCAATTAATATTTGACAAAGGTGGCAAGAGCATACAGTGGAGTAAGGACAGCCTCTTTAATAAATGGTGCTGGGAAAATTGGACAGCTACTTGCCGAAAAATGAAACTAGACCATCAACTTACACCCTACACCAAAATAAACTCAAAATGGATAAAAGACTTAAATGTAACCCATGAATCCATAAAAATCCTAGAGGAGACTGTGGGCAACAAAATCTCAGACATCATACGCAGCAGAATTTTTACTGACACATCACCTAAGGCAATAGAAACAAAGGAGAAAATGAACACATGGGACTACATCAAACTCAAAAGCTTCTGCACAGCGAAAGATACAATCATCAAAACGGAAAGGCTACCCACTGTATGGGAGAGCATAATTGCCAATGATATATCAGATAAGGGGTTAATTTCCAATACATATAGAGTGCTCACACAACTCCACAAAAGGAAGACAAAGAATCCAATTAAAAAATGGGCAGAGGAACTAAATAGACACCTCTCCAAACAGGACATACAAATGGCTAAGAGACATATGAAGAAATGTTCATCATCACTAATCATCAGAGAGATGCAAATCAAAACAACAATGAGGTATCACCTCACACCGGTCAGAATGGCCGCCATCAACAAATCATCAAACAACAAGTGTTGACGAGGGTGTGGAGAAAAGGGGACTCTAGTACACTGTTGGTGGGAATGCAGACTGGTGCAGCCACTATGGAAAACAATATGGTGTCACCTCAAAAAATTAAAAATTGAACTCCCATTTGACCCAGTGATCCCACTTCTAGGAATATACCCTAAGAAGCCTGAAACACCAATCAGAAAGAATATATGTACCCCCATCTTTGTAGCAGCACTATTTACAATCGCTAAGATCTGGAAACAGCCCAAGTGCCCATCAGTAGACGAATGGATTAAAAAGCTGTGGTACATATACACAATGGAGTACTACGCAGCGGTAAGAAAGAAAGATCTCTTGTCCTTTGAGACTACATGGAGGGACCTGGAAAGTATCATCCTGAGTGAAACAAGCCAAGCAGAGAAAGACAAATTTCATATGATCTCACTGATTTCTGGAATATAATGAACATAACAGTTTGAGGACAATCCCCTAAGGAGTGGGGAGCTGAGAGAGGGATGAACAACAGAATTTATATGCATATAGGCATGAACAGTGGACATGGACAACAATCGGGGGAAGGGGCGGGGAGGGAAGGGGGAGGGGGGAACCACTGGGGGAAAAAAGGAGAATCATTTGTAACAAAAATTATTCAATAAAAAAAAAAAAAAAAAAAAAGAATAGAAATAAATATTATATTTTAAAAACTATTTTGAATTCTAATAATACTTTCTTATGTAGAAATTAATTGCTTTTGAGAAGGACAAGGTGTAGAAAAGCCTTTTTCAGCCTTATCTTCAGGAAGGGTGCTCAGATTTTGGTGTTTTTACCAGAAGAAGACGGAGGTCAGGGTGTTAATTCCACTATCATTAATATTATGATTCTAATTATTATAATTATACATTTTTATAGCACCTTTCATCTTAGAGACCTGCATTAACTAACTGTGTTGTCTATGAGCTGATTAACTCCGCACTGAGTCTGATGAAAATTTCTAGATGAAAAATAAAGTAGATTGTCATAATGGGGTTTGCATATCTCCCAATAAAGTGGAATGACACTAATGTGGTTGGTTTCACCTTCTTTTAAATTTGATGTAATCTGAGCTGAAGAGAGATGGACTGAAAAGTCCTGAAATTATCTGCCCCGCAACGTGAAAGTGACAGTATCTGATCCAGTGGTCCCAGCGAGTGCATTCAATTTTGAAAGGCCAGTTAGATAAGGGAATATTGGCACAACTCTCTAGCTATCTGTTCTCCAGTGAACAATGTCTAGTTTTTCTAGTTTTCTAAGTGGACACTGGGAAACTTGTGTGGCATTACCAGCCTCTGCTTGGAGCTCACAGTTTTCACAGGTGGTGACTGCACCAATTACACCGTTTTCGGAAAGATGTGAGGGTAGACAGTGGAAGGTGATGGAAAGAATGACAGTAAGAATATATAGATAAATACTATGACCATACTGTTCCTCCAGGCTCTACTATGCCCAAGTTTCTACTTTACTGGGGCCCATATTTTAATAAGACAAATCTCTCTCTGAACACACTAGTAAAAGTCAACTACATAGGTTCTCCCGGTGACTTTCTTTGACTTTGTATGATATAATGAACAAACATCTAAGGAAACAAAGATGAGGGTAAAGGATCAAAAGTGAACTGAACTTTTCTATTGAGGAGCTTTAGACTTGGAACAGACTTTAGCAATCTTATTGCCCACTTCACTGTGGTAGATCACAGACATGTTACAGACACTTGGCAGATTGTAGCCTTATGTATGTTTATCTGTGTGTGGTATAGGTTACATATGGATATATGTACTAAACACGTGAATGTGTAAAGAATTTAGGATGATGTTCTCACTACATCAGCACATACACTAATAATGGAACAATTTAGAAAAGATTAGCATAGCCCCTATGCAAAGATGACACGAACATTTGTGAAGTGTTTCATATTTTGGATACCGGAAATATTGAGTAGCAAACTATTGATACATCAGCAACACAGATAAATCTCAAAAATTTTATTTTGAGAAAAAAAGTCAGAAACAAGGATATACATACATACTCTATGTTCCATTTATACTGAATTCCAAAGACAGGCAAAACTAACGCAAAAAAATATGAATAGTGATCCTCCTTGGGGTACAAATAGTTGTACCTCTCATTTTACATATAATGAAAATTATAGCTGCTGAAGCAGATTGGCAAGGTTATGAGAAAAATTAGCAACAAAACTGAGATCAGAATTCCCAAATATTGGCTACCTCCTCTTGGCTCATATTTCTTGTCAGCACACATTTATGTAGCCTACCCTCTGTTCCAGGTACATTGCAAGGCATGAAAATCAAATGATAAAGTAAACTTGTCCTAATTGGCAATAAAACATAGAGGGTAGGAACATATTTACTAAAAACCAAATGTATAGGATTCAGTATATAGAATAAAACTTCTTAAATATATATAGTTGTTTATCTCATTGTTCAATCCTTCACCCTTGCACTACCCAGGAAGAGAGGAGTTTACTAGGCAACAGCTTCATCCTTGGATCCAGATTTTCTCTAAGATACAGAGGCTGGAGGCCTGTCTTTAAATACAGCCATGTGAAAGAAGCCTGCCATTTTCTGCCACATTCCCAAATCCCCCCTCTATTCCACAGAGTAAAATATCTCCTACTTTGAGAAATCCAAAAATTTATTTCTGCTCTCTCTATTAAAGCTATAGTTGTGCCCTGGCTCTCCTCTCTCGCTCTCTCTTTCTTTCTCACACTGATGTTTCTCTCTCACTCGCTCTCTCTCTCTCTCCTTCTCCCTCTCTCTGTTCCCCACTCTCTAAAACCAATATAAACACATATCCTCAGGAGAGGATTTTTTAAAAGCTATAGTTGTTATTATTGTGCTATTCCAAGCTTTAGTTGGTTTCGCATCTTCTTGTTTCTCTCACAATATTGTGAACTCCTTGAAGGCCAAGTATTATTTCATTCATCTTAGTATCCACAGAGCATACATCCCATGTGCCTTTTGCCTGAACGCTACACTCTGCCTGGCAAGCTGGACCTTTCTATTGTCCACTACTATACTCTTACTCCAGCACCTGGGGGTCCATCTAATAATACATAGGTTCTATAACCTTCTGGGCAGAGGGACAATGGCCCTGATGCTGCCTTAGATCGAATACAGAATGTGAGTGTGCTAATCTTGAAATAGACCAGTCCCCAAGCTTCAGATGTTCAACCATGACTTCCAAATCACTCACTCTGGTTTATAATCAGTCCTACATTTTCCAACCTAGAGATCACGTCAAACCTCAGGCTCTTGGGGAGGGAGGTAATGTGAAAAGGATAAAACTTTATCTGATTCAAGGGGATTATGGGGAGAGGGAGAATATGGTAAAGGAGGTCAAATATATGGTGACAGAAGACTAGACTTTGGTGAGCACACAATGTAATATGTAGAATTGCACACTTGAAACTTATATAATGTTACTAACCAATGTTATTCCAATAAATTTAATTTTTAAAAACTTTATCTGATTCAATACATTGCCCTTGGCCTCCTGGAGCCAGTCACCTGACCAAGCAAGGAAGCAAATATTCCTCAGTTCTAAAGTTCTTATGTGAAATTACAAAATGCATCAGAGTCAAAAGTGGAAGATAAATTTTGAAAGATATATCTTAGAAGCTAATATTTTGAAAAATAATCCCTGTATAAGATGCCAGGTATTGAGTGCACTGTGGCAAAATAGCCAATGAAGTCATAGGCAACTCAAACTGACTGTTTGCTGTCAGAAAGACAAAGAAAGCCTGATACCTAAATTTTTTCCTTGTCTTTTCTGTTCAACCACATTGAATGTGTAAACAATAGTTCATGTGGAAAGAGCAGAAAGGATGCATGTGTCTACCCAGCATTACCAACTCAATTTGATGGGAAAGAGTATGGACTCCTTACAGACCCTCCGTCCCGCCCACATCCCCTCTCATACTATTATGTGACAAAAGTTACGCTGGAACCCAGACATTTTAAAGTAGAATTTTTAATATTCTCTTGCTGCTGTTTGTTTTTTGCTGTAATTTCTTCAAAAGCATAACATATCATTGAGGGCATGTCAGCATAACAGCTGAAAAAATAACATTTTAAGCCCAGATGTATTATTACTCTTTTGCCATGAGCATATGCTCAGCTTAAGAATATTTATTCAGGACCCAAGAAATAGCTCAAGGCTCTTTTTTTTTCAAGTTCAGCCATGAGTTACGAGTCTTCATTATGAAAATGTAATTGAGTCACGTGGTTTTGTGTCAATATGCATTGTGAAATATTTTGCTTCTGCCAGTTAGAAAGATATTATTCTTATTTAAGTTTGTAAAATCCTACAATTTTAATTCTTCTCTACCTTTCTTAAATAGATCTGGTTTCTGGCAAATTGAGTAAGTAGAATTTATTTTTTTGTCTTGTAATTGTTTTTATTTCCCTAAAAAAGAAAGATTTGTGCAACATGAAAAATGAAGCAGGACTGGAATAAATGGCTGTCAACTCAATAAATCTTAAGTAAATTTTATGCCTGGTGCTGCCATTGGTATTCTGTATCACTAGATATTTTACCTTGAATAATCACTGATGGACATTGATTTTGTCTTTGCTCTTCACAGCACAGCAAAATTAATGTGAAAGTCAGACTCAAATGAGTCCCAGTGGTGTCCTCCGTTCTCTGCTGAAAAGCACATTTCAAATGCAGAAGAAATGGCAACCAGCTGAGACCCAGTGCATCTTGTATTGTAACAATTAATGGATATAAATAGCCCTCATAGGAGAGCTTGGGTTACTTTTATATCAACTTTGGAGGTGAGAGTCTGAAACAGTTCATTGAGGTTAATATGATTAATTTTTATAATTTGATTAATCCTCACCAATTAAAATGATGCTGTTTCTCTTTTTCACATTATATTTTCTTAACTATTCTTTTGGGTACAAGGATATAGCAGTGAAATGTCAACAGGGGTACAATAATTGCATAGGAATTAAAAGTCAGGGAAAACTGTTTTCCTGAATGTAGTTTTAAAAAAAAAAAAAAAAAAAGAAGAAGAAGGAGAGAAAGCCGGACTGTAATGTAGTGTTTGGTGGGAAGGTAGCAGTGAGCATGGGATGACATAGTTCTCTACCCTCGATTCAGGTAGGCACATTGGTGGTCTGTCATGTTGACAGTGCCCAAAACTCCACCCTACCATTCATTTCTTTCAGACTAATTCAGACCATGGGATAGAAGACAAAAATAACCAACAACAACAACAAAACCATGAGCAACCATTCTAGATGAGCTTTGGACTATTAAAGATGCTGAATTTTCATAGATAAGAAATGTGTGTCAGTTTCTACATGATCCAGCACCTAACTCAGTTCACCAGGCAAAGAGGGTAGGTAGATGCTCAGTAATTTTAAATTGTAACAAATACAAGACTTGTCTGATATTATCTTTGTGTAATGGGAATAACAGTACCTAATTTTCAGTATAGTTGGTGCCCTATTCCTAAGCCCCTGGCTCTCATTTCTGAGCTTCATACTTATAAATTGTATTTTATGGCAAATAAATGCAGCTCTCTGCCGAAGACTCTTCTTATCACCCAAGTATTCTTAGCCCTCACAGGGCCGACCATCAGAGGCAGGCATGTAATATTACTAGAAAGAACCCTCATGGAATGACAGCAGGAACTGGTGGAGATATAAGTCACTAACCTCAGATCTTAGGTAGGACGATTCTGAGGGATACTCAGCAATGTCTCCCAGTGTTCCTTAGTGGGACTGACTCTGAGGCTCACGGCAGTTATCATCTGATTCATGCATCCTATATTTCCTTCCTTCTCTTCCCCGTCTCACATTTGCATTACCCTACTGATGACTCTGGAATTACCTTCCAGATGCTTCATTTCATCATAAATATACTTCTAGGGAAACCCAAATTAAGACACATTGTTTGGCAACATTACTCCAGATGCTAAAAAAAAATTTTTTTTAATGATGGTACATGGCATCCTATGCCATATCATGTTTTAAAAGGCAATGCAGGTCTGGTTGGGTGGCTCAGTGGTTGAGCGTGGACCCATGCACCAAGAGGTCGCCAGTTGGATTTCCGGTCAGGACACATGCCCAGATTGTGGACTCCAGTGGGGGGCATGCAGGAGGCAGCTAATTAGTGTTCTCTCTCATCCATGTTTCTATCTCTCTCCCTCTCCCTTCCTTTCTCTCTAAAAACAATACAGAAAAAAAAGTTTTTAATAAAATAAATAAATAAAAGGCAATGCAGCTAGGCAGCTATAATTCTCAGTCTTAGTACCTACAGCTTAACACATTTTCATTGCACCAACATGTTTCAAACATGCATGTGCACTGTACCTCTCCTGTAGGTGTTTGCAGTGTATTCACAGCACCTGCTCTGGAACTACAGCAGTGATCACAAAAGCAAAGATGCTCTAAACAGTTAATCAGATTGCTTCATGGATAGGAAAACAATTTAATCATTTATCATCAATGCTTTTCTGGTCCAATCTTTTCCCTTGAGCTGTCTGTACAACACAGACTGAAGAAGAGATTTGGCAATTATTTGGTGTAATTTAATCAGAAAAGATGGCAAATCGAATAATGCAAGGCATAAAGTTATATGGGGACCAGATTTCATCTGTGTTGATGATCCAACTGCCAAATGCTTTAATCTCTCCTAAATCTTTACCTCCCTTAAAGGAACCAGTTGTAATATCACTTTGGATTTTCATTTTACCATTTTCACCTTCAACACAGTTCTGATCCATTGGATTGATGTTCTCATTCTCAGTCTATATCAGTGTTTTTAAATATGAGACTAGATTGTCTCTATGTTTGAAGTGAATGTTTTCATTAACAACCAATGAAAGGGGAGGGGACAAACTAGAGATAGTAAAGAATCCTTGAAGCTATATACTTCTCATTAAATATA